AGATGGGATCTTGCTATGTTGTCCAGGCTGGTCTTGAACTACTGGCCACAGGCGATCCTCCTGTCTCAGCCTTCCAAGTTGCTGGGATTACAGGCATGAGCCACAGAACCTGAATGTAGTAGATTCTTAGGTATTTTTTCATCTAGAAAGTATTTTCAAGCAGTAATCTTTAGGTGTCTATTTAATAGGCAAAGAGATTAATAAATAATTCTGTCTTAAATATAGTAAATCTGCTGTACTTTTGGGATCCCAATTTATAATACAAGATCATAAAAAAATAGTTTTCTCCCTGCCAAAGAAATATTAATCAACTTCTATACTACCAGAGCATGAAAATCGCAAAGAAGATATTCAGTGTATATCTGCATTTAAATGTATGAAGTTTTGTATCCTTTTATTGATTCTTTTACATCACATCATGAAATTCGTGAAATGATGAAATTTACAACCATTCAGCTGACTTCGTAATACAAATGCTTAGTGCACTTAATATTGGGTTAAAAAGGATCTGACTGGTTAAATATGTCTGTCTTTTAAAACCAATATGAGATGGTTACTTTCTGGAGCATTAGACGTGTTTATTGTTGAAGATGGAAATCTGAAAGCAGTTGTTAGCTTTTAGGTTGGATTTGGGCTTCTGAAACCTAGTGTTGAAATTTCTGAATTTATTATCCTTAAAAGTGAAAATAAGTGGCATTTATGAAGATGAAATTACTTAACCCTTCCTTTCTTTTGATGGTTTTCGTAGTAAATATTATTATGATCACAGCCTCATTCTGCCCACTACAGGATGAAGGCCATACCTAGGTGCTGCCAAGCTTTTGAGCATTGCTGTCCTGGGTCATATGAGGTCACATTGGTTCTCCAAAGGCTATCAGCTCATCCCTTCATGTATATTGGTGTCGGCCCTTGCAGTATCTAGTATCCAATGGTCTCCATTCTGTCGTAAGTGTAGTGCATCTTCCATCTCTTTCTTACATCATAGATTGCTCTTTGTGTTCTTCCCATTTCTTATTCTATTTCCTCCCACTCTTACTTGATCTCCTCTCTTCATGGATGTGTATTTTCTTCAGAAGGTTTCCCTCCTCCTGTTCCCCTATCTTCTCCAAGCAATTTGCATCTCAAAGCAATCTAAACTTAAATTAGAAGGACTTTTCTATAATTCTTCATCTTTCAGTAGTTACACATTTTATATATATATGTATGTTTCACATTTTAAACCATCTCCTATAGGCTCTCCTGTCTTTGTTTCTACCACTACATTTTAGCAACTGATTTTTATAACAACTGGTATTTTATAGGTACTTAAAAGTTAATGGTTAAGAATTTGCTTCTTTAGAATCCGAGTCTTAGAATCTTAAGGTGTTTTGCATATGTTTGTCCAGATTAGCCGATCTTCTAAAATAATATAGTCCCCGGAGAGAAATTGTCCCTTGTTCTAATTTTGATCAACTCCAGGATTTTTTATTTTTTAAACTCAGATTTGCCTATATAGATTCTGATATTGCTACTGCATAATCAGAAGAGGAAACATTAAATATGTTAGTCATTTGGTTTCTGTAGCTATTAATATAGTATTCATCAGGGTATCAAATAGATTTCTGAAGAGTACACCTATGACCGATCACTCTGTTCTTTCTGTTGGTAGACCTGATATTTAGCAAGGACACAGTAACTTAGAACTGGAGAGGCTATTGTAAAATATGTATATATAATTATTTAAAAACTTTCAAAAAGTAAGTTAGGATTAGGAAGAATGATTTTGCATGATTGCCTTTAGTATTTCTAATGGGTTTCTAGGTCAGGTGGAGTTTGGGTCTATGGGATATTACAGCGTGTCATTTGGAAATTTAGGGACATGTAGCCAAGGTGAATCATTGCACAGCCTTCTAGTGTGGTATATGTACTCTCACGATACCTACTGTGTAGCACATGGAAGGTGAAAGGTCAATGAGTTCTACATATTAATATTTGGGTGAATTTGGGGGCTATAAATTTTGTTGAGTGAGGTTTAAGTAAAATTTATCAAAGTGTCTTCAAAGAAATTTGAGGATGTTGCTACTAATGACTTAAGCAGTGAATTGTTAATCATAGAAATAATTTCTATTCCCAAGTGACATATACTCTAGGACAGGGGTCCTCAAACTTTTAAAACAGGGGGCCAGTTCACTGTCCCTCAGACTGCTGGAGGGCTGGACTGTAGTTTTAAAAAAACTATGAACAAATCCCCATGCATACTGCACATATCTTATTTTGAAGTAAAAAAACAAATGGGGAAAAACACCTGCATGTGGCCAGCGGGCTGTAGTTTGAGGACGCCTGCTCTAGGAGTTAAAAAAAAAATTATTTGGTGTATGTGGCTTAATCCAAACTTCTTCAGTGTTTTTGTTCTCTTTTACAGTTTTATGCTATTTGGATTTTAGTGCTGAGAGGGAAAAGAAACTTTAAAGTGATTTTTCATCTTAGTTATTTATAAGGAAATAAGTATATGCCCATTCTTACTGGACAACCTAGTAGGTAATAATAGTGATGATATTAATATTGAGGATAATAGCAAGTAAGATCTAATGAGAGTTTAGGATATGCCATGCCAAGCTTGTAATAGGCGGGCACCTCTTTTCAGTCCTCAGAGCAGCACTCTCAAATTTTAGTAAGCTCGTCCTCACTTTATAGATGAAGCAGCTGAGTGGTGGAGAAACTAGCATGCTCGGTGTCTCATGGCTAGTAGTTGGAAAACCTAAGATTCAGCTCTACCGGGCTCTAGAACTAACTTTCTTCTGCCTATACTTCCTAGGGCTGGTAATTAGTATCTTTTAGCCATGAAATTTGGATAACTTAAGATCCACTTTTCCTGTTCTTGATAATAATGATTGGCCATTTATCAAAAAATACTTTTTATAAACTACAGATCTCTTCTTAACCCAATAAATGAAAAATATTTTTTTTCTTGCTATTTTGGAGAAAGTCAAGTTTTTTCTGTCTTTAGACTTCACAGATCCATTCTTATCTAATAAATTATACTTAAGTCAGTCTTTTCTCCTTAAAAATTGTCTTTAAAAGTCATCATAAATAAATATCTGTGCTTCACTATATCACATGGCTGAATGTGAGCTTGATTGCACTTTCTTTATTTCTTCTGGAAATAGTTATAGTGGAAAGGAAGATAATCTTAACAAATCTAATTAGCTATGTCACATTTCCATTAAGTCGTTTATGCATTAGACAGTTTTATCTAGCTTTCTTTGTTTTGAGAATGAAAGTTGCTTCAGTAAAAACGTTTTGATTTTTGGTATTTGGTTATTTTATAGAAATGAATGTGCACGTGAGAATGCATGTATGTCTCCTGTCTATCCAATAATCATTAGATTATAATGTAAACTTTTGAAAATTTTTTTATTTGGAATAATTTTAGATTAAAAAATCCTTGCAAAGGTAATATAGAGGGTTTCCATACATCCTTCACCAAACTAGTAAATTTTGCTAATTCAGAATAGTCCAGAAAAATCTAGTGTTCTGGCCAACTGATAATCTATGTAATTTATGAGGATTAAAAGCATTCAAATGTATCTAAGGCATACAAACATAATGACATAAAATTAGATAAATTGATCTTGCTTCTCTTTATTTTTGATACTCTGTAGTTCCATAAGATACATGAGACTGGGCTGAATTTCTTTTAACACACTAACGGCCATGAGTTGTATTTAACTCACTCTAGTTTTGACCCTGGGGCCAAGTGAAGCATATATAAAGTCTTATTTGTTGATGTTCTTATTGTTACACTTAATATGACAATTTAATTCTAAAAAACATGGATTCAATGAATAGCAGTCAATAAATTTTGTTTTTCTGTTTATGTTTACCTTGAGATTACAGTCGAAGTTTTTATTCTTTTTTCGTAATAAACCACTGTGGCATCAGGAGAAAAATTTCTGGTTTTTTTTGTGTGGCCGTCAATGTGTTAATCTTCAGCATACCACCAGATAAAGTATTGTTTAAAAAAATCTAGTCCACAACTTGACATTTCTTGTACATATAGAGAAATTTTAAATTTTAATCAAAATTTATCATAAGTTGAATAATCATTGTATTTTATAAAAGTTAGACTGTTTTTTGCTTCCTAAAAACTTCTGAAAACATAGGCTTTCATTGAAAATTCAATGTGGAAGACATGCGGTGCATATTTTAGCTATGGAAGACTGTACGCACTTTGTTTACTTTCACACATATGTAAAAAATATAAAATACTTCATGCCATTTCCATGAAAACATTATTTTGGAAGTTAGCATTCCTATATCAATGCTAGTATTAGTTGTTTTCACAAACTTTTAAAATTTGACAAACATAATAAGCACAGTATTTAATTTAAAGTGGAGCTTCATTTCTTTTTCTGGAAAGCACATACTAGTTCTGTTTGGTAAACTAAAGGTCTGTGAATCCATTCTAATGATTCTTTCTTCCACCCGTGTCAAATCCATGTGATCTAATTTGTGTGAAAAATTTTAATGCTCAGTGAGATTTTTAAGAAGTAATTAAGTGTTGAGAACTGGTTAGCAATAGAGTAAGGCTCACTATTTATTGAAAGGTAGCAGAAATCAGAGCTTTGTGGAAATTACATTACCAAATATTTGATTTTTTTTTTTGACTATGAAATTGACTCTTGAAAGGAAAACTGCCAAATACAGTTTATTTTCTTTAACAAAATAAAATATACCTGTAGAAATCCTCGTAGTGAGAGAATGCTGAGAACAGTATTCCCAAACATCATCTTGTATAATGAAATAAAGCTGCTTTGCCTTTGAGCATACAAGACATTTAGACCAATAACCTTTTGTTTTCCTTGGGCTCTCATATCTGGCCGTGCTCTTTTTGTGTATTTTCTGGAATTGTGTTTTTGTAGAGAAGCCAGGAGGGTGGGCATTGCTTACTTCCAGTGTGTGATGACACAACTGTGCTTACGATGTTCTTCTCTCTCCAACCCCTTCTCATCTTTTCCTAGATGCGCATCGGGAATTCCTTCACAGGCCTGCATCTGGATACGTGCCAGAGGAGATCTGGAAGAAAGCTGGTAAGAATTGTTTAAAAACATGAGTTTCGTGTTCTGGCAGCTGTGTGCAGTTGTTAATGCAGTGATGTGAAGAATGACAAGAAAGGACTTTACTGCTAACAACAACAACGGCAAAAACAAAACAAAACAAGACAAAAAAAAAAAACCACAAAACAAAACAAAAAACCTGATTAATATTCTCAAACCAAGCCTGATTAGAGCATGAAATGGTTTTTATTTTAGTAGCATCTGCTAGTGCCATTATAATTGAGAGGCTGGCAATATTTCCATTATATAAACCCAATTTTTTTTCAGGGGCTATAATGGTTTCAGTCTGAAACTGGTATAGGAGGTCTTAGCTTGCATGTTTTTTTTTTTTTTTCTTTGATGGAGAACAAAAATTCACTGTTTTAGAAATTAAATTGTGTACATCAGCTTTTTCTTTTGCATTCTTAAAAAAAATCAAATCTAGTTGACTATTTAAGGTACTCAAGTTATTTTTTGGTTACAATCAACTTTTAAAGTTATTCTTTGCTAATTAATATTCACTGATTATTTTTTTAAGTTAAATGACACAGTTGTTAAACATCTACTTTTACTTTCCATATACACCTCTGCTTTCCATTATGAGATATTGCTTTATATTTTATAGTAGGCTTAAGGCTCCCGATGACCCACTGACTTGTTATTGGGTTTAAAGAAGTTCAGATCTGGCAGAATCTTGGTGGAATACCAGCTGAGCAAAAACCTTTATGAAAACCAACTCAGCAGATAAAGCATAAATCTGTTTTAAGAGTTAAAGATGACATTAAAAACATACTGTGGCTTTGAGCTGCTGTAACCGCAACTGTTAAAATAGTTTGAGTTGGGAAGCTGGGAAATGCTACTTCTGCAAAGAGTCAAATGGGTGTAGGGCTGGCAACACTCACCAAACAGCCAAGAGAAAGGGTATTTGTTGTTGTTTTTCTACAAAAGATTGTTCTTTGGGTTTTGATTTGATTCAGCTGTGTTTGTAGTTCTGTGCAACTTGCTGACTCTCTGGTCAACTTGTATCTTATCCACATAGTTTTATAGATTTTCTAAGAAATAACCTGCTTTTGTAAGAATGAGTTTTAAAATCTGATGGTATTCCAGGCTTTGTACTTAAAGAACCAGAAAGCTCTCTTGGAGGTCTGATATGCAAATTAATAGATCCATTCTGCCTAAAGGTTAGACTATATATATTGCTCACCTACATAGTTTTTATCAGATTTATGGTAATAGCATGTGATACTCTCAGGCTGCTAAAAATATGTGGGGTGTTCACCTACCTGAAAAAGAGTTGCCACGTCTTTCTTCTGATCACTTTTCTCCTCCATTTTTGAGCTGTCAGTTCAGCTTATTCCAGTAAGAACTATAAAGAATTGTCATTTTGGACAGCAGAGGGTGTCTTTTTATGATGAAGGGACAGTCTTTTCTCTGCATTTCCCTTATTACATGTATTTAGGTTAAATTTTTGATAGTTCCTAAAGAAAAGCTGCCAGTAAGGTCTTGTGTAATCCAAATTCCTTCTGTGCTATTGTCTGCTCAATTCTTTGACTGCTGTTACGTGAGAACAGATTTTTTTCTGAATATTCCACCTTTGTGGGAAAGTCAACTTGAATAGCTATGCACAAAGGAAGTCTTACCATAAGTGGTAAGCAATTGGAAGCAGATTCAAAACTACTATGTATATTCCACTTAATTAAGATTTTTTTTTCCTACTTGACATGTTGTAATCTATTGAATCTACCATTATTTTTTTTCACTTGTCTATTTTGGGGGTTTCCAAACCTAATTCTGGATATACTTTAGGTTCTGGGGACTTAGTAGAGAAAGAGCAATCCTTGTTTTGTTGGGTCCATGTACTCTCTAAGAAGGGTTAAACCTTATCAAAGAAATGTTTGGATTATTTTTTGGTATGTCTGTCAACTATTTTAGGTCTTCAGTCTAAACTATGACTTGGTATGGAGCAGATTAACTTTGTATTCTTCTCACAGAGGTATCCCTAATCTGCTGCAAACCAACAGTTTGGGAATAGTTTTCTATGGATGGATGCTAACCTTGAAGGAGTATATTAAATCCCTAAAGTACGGATGGCAGTTTCATCTGGAAAACTCCAATAACTGTTTATAATGTTTATCATGATAGGCTTCTTAAAAGGCATCTCTAGTGTTTGCAATGTCAAGGCATCTGACATGATGAAAATACCATGGCACAATGTGACATGTGCACTCAGCTTGTTATCATTTGAAGGCTTTTTCTCTAGGATTCTAAATTTTGCTGTGGGCTGTTTCTTTCTTTCTTTTAAACCTATAAAGTGTGCCTTTGCTATATATTATATGTTTGTGGCAAAAGATAAGTAAATGAAGTTTAAAGGGCAGAACTCTCAAAATTTGATGTAGTATAACCAGTGGGTCCTTTTTCACAGAATATTATAATTGGGAAAAGTATATCTTGTGCTTGAAAATACATCATACAGCTTTTTGCACTATTTTATTTCGAGGTGATTTCAAATGTGCAGAAAGTCACAAAAAATTACCTATACCTTTCACCCAAATTCTCCTATTTTATCATACTTGCTTTAGTTTCTTCTCTCTTCTTACCTCATTTTCTTTCTCTGATAAATGTGTGTGTGTTTTCTAATATTTGAGAGTATTTACAGATGTGATGTCTCTTTACCCTAATTATTTTAGTGTATATTTTTAAAGAAGGATATTTTCTTACACAACCATAGTACAGTTACCAAAATCAAGAGATTGACATTGATACAACACTGTTATTTCATCTGTAGACCCTAAGCAAATTTTGTACTTTGCCCCAATAATACAATAACACAACAATACAATTTTTTAAAGATTAGAAATCCTACCAAATGTTCAAGGCCCATCAGTTTCCCCCTGGAAGTAGTATTTTTAAAAGCATAAGTAAGAAACTGAAAAGTTACAAAGGGTCCTTATAAAACTGGAAAAAAAAATATAAAGATGCTCTTAAAATTGCAACTCAATGTTTTCTTCAGTATATTTCTTTTCACATGATCAGAGAATGTTTGCAGTTGGTAATAAATATTCAAGCACCTTGCAAATGTCCTACCAATTCTCTTTGCTGATCTGTATATGCCTGTGGGATTAGAATAGGAATGCATAATTTAAATATAAATTGCCTGATTTGCATATACAATTAGTCAAGCTACAGCTTTGATCATAAGCAAAAATTATTGTCCTGTATTACCACTTAGATAGAATTTTAATTCACCTTGAATATTCAAACTAAATTAGACCCTGGCTGTATAGTTAGAAGGGCAGTACTTCCCTGGTGCCCCAAGTCATTTATGATAGGGTAATAAAGGCATCTTTTCACCTCCTGGTGAAGAAGGTTCTGTAAGCTCTGTCTGCAATACTCTGATTCTATCCAGATTTTAAATGCACATCTTAAAACAGCTAACAAAGGCTTAACATATTTTTGTTAATATTTCCAGTCTGGATCTTTTCCTTATATTGTGGTTTATAAAGCCCAGCAGACAGTAATTGCAAACAAATGTACTTCAGAAATAATGCCACTAAAATGATGGGAGCTACAAAAGTCATGACAGTTAATTACTACTGGAGATCTTCTGACTTTCCTCAAGCCATGGACTATAGAAGTGTGAAATAAACCATAGAAATTTAGGAAACCATAGGAGTACTTACATCTCTTACATTTTTAATCTACAGTAAAGCATTTTTATTAGGAATCTATGTTTTTAATTAAACAGAACATTTAATTAAGGTGCTTTTTAAGTGGGTGAAACAATTAGTACAAACACTTGAATGAAACATGTCATAATTAGTTTTAATAGAGTGTTAATTGGTACTAGGTTTGCCAAGTTAATAATTACTGCTTATTAAATTTTCAATTAATCATTGTCATTTTGCTTTGAATAAAGATGAAAATTAGATAAACTAATTCAGAGGGAGGATATTTTCCCTTGTTAATTAGAACAGTTAATTTTTTAAAATGGAAATTATTTGTTTTAGTTGTCAGTCTTCTGTTATACATTAGTTGAATCTTTGCACCCTTTCCCCAGCCAAAAATAAAGAGCTAATTTGATACCTTGCAGATTTATAGTCAGACCTGACTGTTTTGGTGTGCGGTATGATTCAGTTATATTTGTCTAGTGCAACAGTTGGTTATGCAAAATCATTATATATATTTGATGAAGTAGATAGACAATAGCTTGAAATTTAGAAATGAGAAGATTTTTAAAAGTCTCTACAGATATTTAGTCCATAAAGGCACATATCCATATAACTCAGCAAATGACTTAAGAAAAAGTAAAACTGGATCATCTGTTACATCATTTTTTTAAAAAAGGTCTATATTAACCTCATTGTTATCTGAGTTACCTTTTCACTATTGGGTTGTATTTTTTACCAGCAAAACAATTGTTTGCACTTACATATGTGTACACGTAAAATCCATTCTCCTCTTTTTTTTTTTTTTTTTCCTTTCTGAATGCTTTACATGTGGACTTCCTATATTCATGTTAACCTACAATGTCATGAAAACTAACTTCTGTATGTGTCTGAGTTATTCAGGCAGGTTTCTTGGGAGTGTTTTAACATCTTAATCTGATCTCAGAATCATTTCTGGGGTTGCTAGTCTGGTAAAAAACGTTGTAGTGAAGACCTAGGAATTCCAAAAAATAATCCCAGGAGTGCAAGCTACAGAAAAATTCTCACCCTTTGTATTCCTAAGTGAATTTCACCTATCTGCTAGTGTTTTAGACTGCCAGAACCGCCCACCAATGTGGATGAGAGTAATGCCTGTTTCCGTATAGTTCTGTTAAAAAGTAATCAGCATGCGGGGCCCTGAGCTAACCGAGAGGTGTTGTCTTGTCTGGTTTGGCCTGACCGGCACGCAGAGGAGGCCGTCAACGAGGTGAAGCGCCAGGCGATGACCGAGCTGCAGAAGGCCGTGTCCGAGGCGGAGCGGAAAGCCCACGACATGATCACCACGGAGCGCGCCAAGATGGAGCGCACGGTGGCCGAGGCCAAGCGGCAGGCTGCGGAGGACGCGCTCGCGGTGATCAATCAGCAGGAGGATTCCAGCGAGGTGAGCTTCCCGACGAAAACGAGCGTTTTCGTTAAATGGACTGCTCATTTTCTATTCCAGGAGGTCACAGTGAAAGTGGATGTTGAACTTTAGACAAAGGTCTGGGAAAAAAAAAAACAAAAAAAACAACTTTAAAACAATTTGGAGGCCGGGTGCGGTGGCTCACGCCTGTAATCCTAACACTCTGGGAGGCCGAGGCAGGAGGATTGCTCGAGGTCAGGAGTTCGAGACCAGCCTGAACAAGAGTGAGACACTGTCTCTACTAAAAAAAAGAAAAAATAGAAATTTGGCCAACTGAAAATATATAGAAAAAATTAACCAGGCATGGTGGCACATGCCTGTGCTTCCAGATACTCGGGAGGCTGAGGCAAGAGGATCCCTTGACCCCAGGAGTTTGAGGTTACTGTGAGCTAGGCTGATGCCACGGCACTCTAGCCTGGGCAACAGAGTGAGACTCTGCCTCAAAAGTAAATAAATAAATAAATAAATAAATAATAAATAAAATAAAAATAAAACAATTTGGAAGTTGAAGTACTTGTGGCATTGACCAAAGGCTGATCAAATTTTATTTCTTCTTTTTATTGTTTAATTTTTTTAATTTGTATATATTGATGGGGTACAAGTGTAATTTTGTTACATGTGTAGATTGCATGGTGGTCAAGTCAGGGCTTTTAGGGTATCCATCACCCCAGTAATGTACATTGTACCCATTGGGGAATTTCTCATCATCCCATCATCCACCCCCCTTCTCCCTGCCCACCCTTCTGAGTCTCTATTGTCTGTCATTCCGCTCACCACATCAATATGTGCATTTCTTTTTGCTCCTATTTATGAGTGAGAACACGCGGTATTTGATTTTCTATTTCTGGCATGTTGCACTTGAGAAAAAGACCTCCGGTTCCATCCATATTGCTGCAAAAGGCATGATTTCATTCTTTTTAATGGCTGAATAATATTCCATTGTGTTCATTTATTCATTAAAGACCTAAAAGAAAACTCTTTGCCCCCCCCAAAAAAAAGTTTTTAATATTTTTGATGGGTTACAGGTTACAGTGAAATTCTTATAACTTCCTAGCATTATTTAGAAACTCAAAAGTTGCCCGTGTGTGAGAGAGAACATATATATATATGCCTTCTTTCTGATAGAAGGGATTTAATAGATATACTGCGTAAACTATGGTCTCCAAAGACATACTGCATGCTTGGGATTGAAATACCTTTCTTAGTTATTGGTCCTAAAGGCCAATGCCAAAACAATGTATTTAGCAACTAAATATTTCCAAGAGATCTTGTATATAGTCTATAGTTCCATATTAGTTATGATAATCAGTATTATGGCCATTTCCTAGCATAATATTACTGCCAGAAGTAATATTATTTAGTATTATTCTGGTATAATAATTCCTACACACATACACGCATACACACTCACGGATAAACTAAATGTCTCAAAGATCTTAGAAGTAACTAAAATACAATATCTAAGGGAATGATTTTTAAAATATAGCCTATAAAATCAGAGCAACATAGTAATACTTCATGTTAATGAATATAGCATCACAATCCTCAACCCCCAAGTAACTTCAGATAAAGAATTACCATTGGCTAGTCTCACCCAGCTGAACTTGCAGAGACATGAACTGATAAATCAATGGTCTACCACAATACATATCTATAATTTGTGGGGGAGAGTAAGTATTTAATTTGTACCAGGCTTTTCTGTAGATGAAAGGCCCTGCGGGAATCACCCGATGCCTAGAGTTTCTATTTAATGTGTAGCAGATGAATAACAAGGGCACAAAAGGAATTGATTTTCAACATTTGAAAGTTTCTCAGGAAAAGAGGGACAAAGGGAAGTTTATCTACCCTTTAGCTGCTGACTTTTCCATTGTTGAATTAAACTAGACATAAATTCCAGTTTTATTGGCATTTGTGGCTTAGATATATAAGGACTTTGTATTTTTTAATGTTTAATTTTTTATGAGCATCTTTTGAAAAGAACTTGTCCTGCTCTATTCAAGTTAGTAATATTGTGAGGCACACTTGTTATCATTAAAACATTATCACTAGCACATGAACATTTTAGGTCTGTTGGGTATGTTAAGAATATTTTGTAGTTCACTGAGTTCTAAAGACAAATGTCTAGGAAGAAATTGTCAATTAAGTCTTTGTATTGGGGTGATAACAGTATCAGTATCTAAAAGCTTTGTGTCTATTCCTAAAATCTATCCAGAAAATATATATGATCTTGACACTAGTATTCAGCATTATAAATTATGGTATATCACACAGTAGCTGTGGTAAGTAGTAGATATGATTGAAAAACCTATGTAAGAATGATCATCTGTAATAATTTTTCTTTCTTTCTTTCTTGGTCTCTGCAAAGGTGGAGCAGGGAGGACTGATCTTTAATATAGCATTCCTTTGTTTTCAGTGACACTTTCCCAAGAATTTTAAGACTATGACAGGGGAAACAGTTTGGAATTCAGAGGGACAAATTTAATTCCTGGCTCCAGCTCTTGCAGTTCTTTGATTTGTGAGAAAGCCACTGAACCTTAAAAGAAGGGTCTTCAGACTTTTTTTTTTTTTTTTTTCTTGAGACAGAGTCTCACTTTGTTGCCCAGGCTAGAGTGAGTGCCGTGGTGTCAGCCTGCTCACAGCAACCTCAATCTCCTGGCTCAGCGATCCTACTGTCTCAGCCTCCCGAGTAGCTGGGACTACAGGCATGCGCCACCATGCCCGGCTAATTTTTTGTATATATATATTTTTAGTTGGTCAATTAATTATTTCTATTTTGTAGAGACGGGGTCTTGCTCAGGCTAGTTTCGAACTCCTGACCTTGAGCAATCCGCCCGCCTCGGCCTCCCAAAGTGCTAGGATTACAGGCGTGAAGCCACCGCACGCCGGCTTTCAGATTTTTAAACAGGGGGCCAGTTCACTGTCCCTCAGACTGTTGGAGGGCCGTTGGAGAGTGCGGCGGACATTCCACACATGCGCACAGTGGGCCCGGGATGAGTGGGCTGCTGAGCAGGACAGGCAGCGGTGGCAAAAACACCTGGCGGGCTGGATAAATGTCTTTGGCGGGGCTGCATGTGGTCTGCGGGCTGTAGTTTGAGGACGCCTGCTCTAAAAGCTTTGGTCTTACCATGAATCGAAGATGAGTGGAAGTATCTTGTGTAGTGGCTAGAAACTTGAGATGTGATCATTTGATCATGTTGTAGGTAAGGAAACTCACCTGGCTGAAGTTACAAAGCTAGAAAATGATAGAGTCTAAACTAGAACTTGCAGCATGCTGTCTGTCCTTACATTGTTTCATAACAATGAAATGAAGATCTTTTCATAAGGATCTTTTCATAAGGATCTTTAAGGTAATTTTTGGATGCAGATAAAGACGACTTTGGTCTGGTTTCTTCACTTTAAACTGCAAGACCACTTTTAAAACTTTTAAGATGGAGGAGTCATCCCTTTTCTCCATAGTAATGTAGACTGTTTCCTGAGAGTAGAAGAGAGAAAGATGGAAGAGGATTTCATTTAAATAAACCTGAGGCTTCTCTGGACTTGTGCATAAGTCTGCACGCATATACTAGAAAAGTGGTTTAACTAAGGACTTGGCAAAGAAGTAAAAGGTTTAATCCATTAACCAGCCCAAAGTTAATGTCATTCATTCCCAAGCAGTGACAATGTCCAAGAACAATCCAAGTGCCTGGTGGTGGGTTCAGTTCAGCCATACCTTTCTTCCAGTTATTGGATTGAATTTGTAGGTAAATGCTTTTTTTCTCCCTCAAAGTGAGGACAAAACTTTGAAGCCAGTGTACTACTTTTCTGCACTCTGCTCTTTTGTCACGCTCAGGAATGTATATCCTTTAATAGAAACACCCTGACAAAAGCTACCTCAGCAGTGATGCTTGCACGTCACCTGAGGTCTACAGAGCTCCCCGAGCCCCTCCTGGACAGAGCCGGGACAGGTCTGGCTTCCCTGGGCTAGGATAGAGCTTCCTATACCAGGCAGCACCATTATTGGCAACCAGGGTAGGGAATCTGTTGTGTGCTGAGAAGACACTCCATTACTTCTCAGAATTTTCATCTATGTTTTTATATTCAGGGGTTTTCTTGAATATCAATAATTTGACTCCAAATAAGGCCCATGTAGCGTTGTGCTTTAGATATTTTATAAATTATTCCTTTTCTTAGAAAAAAGAAAGGTCTTAATTCTTAGAAATGAAAGATCTGGCCATGATAGTAAAAGTATACAATCTCCTTACATGTAAGAGCTACTGATTTTAAAACTGTATTTAGAAATTAATGGGCATTCTTTAAAAATACTGTGTTTGTGACCTGCCCAAACTAGTTTATTATTTGTTTCATGTAACTAAATTACTCACATCCATTCATGCATTTATTCTTTCAACAACAAATCATTGCGCTCCTATTCTGTATCAGGGACAGTGCTGGCATTGAGGGTACAGCAGTCCCTGCTTCATGTGGATTGCAATTTACTGGAGGCGTCAAGTAACTGCACTGTAAGAGTCATCATAAAGGGTGATGTGAAGGTTTCTGGGGAAAAGTTTTCATCTGGTTCTTAAAGATGATCAGAAACTGGTCAGCAGCTGCCTACCACCCTTTCCCTCCATGACCTTTTATCACTGCTTTTGCAGGGAAGATGGGGAGGGGAGCTTTGCCAGGTTGGAAAGCAGGGCAGTTCTGTGGCTGATGAGTCTTTTGGAAGGGTCACTCACACTGCAGTGTGCAGAGAGATTAAAAGAAGCAAAGAGGAGGGGGCCGACCTGTGTCAGGAGCAAGATGGATAGAAAATGGTTGGATGAGGATGGTTGGTAGTGGGGCTGGGTGCAGGAAATCGGATGTATTGGCTGCACACCCAGCGAGATAGAATGGGCAAGACATGGTGATTGATTCTCTGTCAGGAAGGAAGAGGGAGTCGTGGTTTTCAGTGGGCATACAGGGTTTGGGACATGCACATCAGGTGATCTTACTTGAACCAC